TGTGTGGACTTACTCCTCACAACAACCCCATTACTATCTCCTCATCTATTTTATAGATGGGAAACCAAGGCTCCAAGAGGTTACACAACTTGCCGTCGGTCCCAGTTTGTAAATGGGGAAACTGGGATTCAGCCCAGGCAGCCTGGCTCCGGAGCCTGTCCTCCAAGCCCTTGTTGCCTGTTTCTGTTCATCTCCTCCATTAGGTCCCATAAGGCCTGGCATCATGGTTCCTGCCTGTCTCCCTAGAGCCTGGCGCTGGCCTGGTATGATGCTCAGGAAGCGTTCACTGCATGGGGTGGGCGCTGGGGCAGAGGCGGCACAAGCCATTGTCAGGCTCTGAGCAGGGCTGCTTTCTGGCCGCTCGGTTTAGATCCTCAGTAGCTTCATTTAGGAGCCAACCTCGACTCCCATAGGGTTCCTTGCTGCCCAGCCTGGCTTTGTGTCCAAAATCCAAACTGTCGTAGGGACAGTTTGGGAGATTTCTTGGTTCGAGTTTTAACACAGTCAGAGCTCAGTAGTTATTAACCCTATGTGTTCAGTGCCATCCCTGGATAGGGTCTAGAAAGTGGGTTTCTGTTCATCATGGGCTCTGATGTAAACCGAGCCAAACTCTACGCTCCCTCCCCCCCCAGGAGAGCCATCCTGGATGCCCTGCACTGAGCGGAGCGGCGTCGGTGTGGAGAGGGGGTGCTTTCCCCCTATGCCCGCTGAGGGGCTGCACTAGGGCAGAGGGCCTGCAGGCCAGAGGTCAGAGGTAGCTGACGGCCCGCAGGCTTCTCGCCTTCCAGCTGCTGTCCGCTGTCCGGCAGTGGCTACCAGGGGAAGCTTAACCACCGCACTCCGAGCAGAGTACTGTTTAGACCAGTGATGGCGAACCTTTTGAGCTCTGTGTGTCAGCGTTTTGAAAAACCCTAACTTAACCCTGGGGCCGTGTCACATATAGAAGTTTTCTGATATTTGCAACCATAGTAAAACAAAGACTTATATTTTTGATATTTATTTTATATAAATGCCATTTAACAAAGAAAAATCAACCAAAAAAATGAGTTTGCGTGTCACCTCTGACACGCGTGTCATAGATTCGCCATCACTGGTCTAGACCATTGAGTTCCTTTAGAGACTGACAAATGCTTGATGGAGCCATTCAGTCGAGAATCTTGGTGCCTTAGAACTGTTAGCCATTAGCCACATGTGAAGCGATGGCCTGGGTTGACCTGCTGTTCGCTGCCTACTTGTTTGTGCCGTCAAACACAGTATGTGTGTATCAGTAAGAGATTTAATTACAACGAAAGTCTGGGACGCGCACGTGAAGTAGATGCAGGCAGAATCCATCACTCTGTGGGGTCAGTACGCAGGGCCCGACAAAGATGGCATCGTCAGCAGAACAAACAGTCTGTCGCGTGGGGAAGTCCCCTGTTAGACACACACTTTCTCCTCCTCTGCGATTGTTTTTGAAACTCATGGGGTTGATAGACATTGGCCATGACAGATTTCTCAACCGACTGATAGCTTAAGCTGTACAGGGGCATGTGTATGTGTGTACAACATCTGTCTTCAACTAATAGCACTATGACATAGTTACTCATCGTGTAAGCGAAGAACAAATAATGGCTGGCCAACTGTTGACCCCCGGCTGAAAGGCGAGGTCAGCCAAGTGGAACTGGTTAGGTCTTCCTGTGTCACCTTGTTTGGGTTTGTTGTTGCCTAAGGAGAAGGACAGGGCGGTTTTCATTGCTCTGGTCCTCGGCTGGGGCCTCCAGTGCGTGCCAGAGAACAGTGGCCGGGCGCAGGCTTGGGCATGGACCTCTCTCGCCAGTGGATATCTGCAGTGTATCAGCCACTGTATCAGCAGCCCTTCCCCGGGGAGGCCCGTCCGTGCTGCACAGCCGACTCCCTGACGTGTTCATGGAGTTCAAAGCCCGGGTTGGTTTGGTGCTGACATTTTGGATTAGCTGGTTGACTGGAAGGCCTGCTTCTTTCTATACACTGTGAAATTTGTAAACCGCAGCCGCCGGGGGCTTAAAATGGCCGAGCAGCCCCCAGCTGGCAGCAATTAAGTACACCACAGACCTCTGGCTAAACAAAGGTTTGTGGCGTCAGAGTTGCTGCATATGCACTAGGCAGACTGGTGTTGTAAACTACCTTTCATGTCCAGGTTAGTTAGCAAGAGGTGCTGTCAGCTGCTGAGAGGTGAGTGGGTGGAGTGTTGCCACCTCTTGTTTAATGATCTGTTATCTGCAGGATGTAGTGCCAGACCTGCCCTAGAAGCAGCCCGTCTGGACAGTAGAGGTGAGGGTGAGGAGAGGAGCGGGGCAAGCAGAGGAGGCCCGGGGAGGTCCCAGGGGGTCCCCCAGCGGTGGGCCTGAGAGCTTGGCAGGGATCTTTCAGTTCTGGTGCCCATGGGCAGGCGCCGGCCACTCCGCCTTTTTATTGGACACCATTACCTTTTAGGTAGAGCAGAGAGGATGGGAATGAGAGGACAGTCAGGTGCCATTTTATACCCATTCATGCAGCAGAAAGCTGGTGGCGATGTGGTGATGTGGGGCACACTTACTTCCATCTCCCATAGCCCATGGCTGTACAAGACGTGGGCTCCAAAGGCTCAGGTCCGGAGCGCAGCACCTTTCCTTGGCCTCTCGGGCTCCCTGGGTCCATCAGAGGAAGTTAGGGCTCGGAGTAAGTTTCCTCTCTTGGGGGCATGTTTTTCCCACTTTAATGGAAGATCGTTTCTTCCGAGGGAAGTGCATGTGTCAGCGGAGGCATAGCTTCATGACTTTGAAAATCAGTGAACGGACAGACCCGCCTGGCCCTTTCTGTCAGGAGTTGGGATTCTAGCTGGTTTTCATTCTGCCTTGACTTTGCAGACTGTCAGAGCCCAGACTCCAGTCCTCTAGCTCTGCACCAATTTGCGTGTCACCTTTCCTTTCTTAGTTCAATAGTCACAGTGGCCCTATCCCTGCCCCCACCCACAAACACATTCATTTATTTACTCATCTAAGGTGTGTTGCTTCTCCCCCTTGAATCAGGCTCTGTTCTAGTTCCCGGGCTAGAAGGAACGAGACAAAATCCTCTTCTCATGGTGCTTATATTCCAGATGGGGTGCCACGCAGGGAGCAAATATTTGATCTAAGTGAGATGTGAAGCAAATGTGTTTTGAGCACGTGACTGGCTGATTTAACTTGTATTCTGAAGGGGTCATTCCCATCGCTATGAGGAGAGTGGACCCGGGTAGAAATAGAATAAGGTGTAAGGTTATTGTAATAATCCGTTACCAATCCAGAGTCATTTTCAGTTGTGACAGAGATGGAGGGATATTGGATGGGGGATGTAGATGGACATCTAGCCTGCGGAGGTCCCGATGGGTTGGGGAAGATGCTGAAAGGCAGTGAGGAACAGGCCCCATCACATCTCTCTTGGAGGGGCCTCTGAGCTTCTGCCCCAGTAGCCAGACCTCTCCCAGGAGCTTCCTGGGACGGAATGGTAGGACCCCCGAGGGGAACAGACACTTAGCAGTGTTGGGAGTGGCGGTGGGTGTTTCCCTAGGTGGGGACGAGAACGGGGCTCTGCTGCCAGGGAAGCCCACCTCGCTCCCTCCCTTGGTTTCCTTACGTGCCCTGATGGCTGCGTCCTCACCAGCAGTTGCCCACCTCTCCGCCGATTGGTCAGCAGCAGCCGTTCCGCCGCCCTCCACCCTTCAGTCACTAGTTGGGATCTAACCAGCCAGCAGGAGGCCTGAGTCTTGAAGAAGGCATGAGACTATGGCTAGTGGGAGTGTATGATGTAAATAAAATTACCTTTTACCCATTCCTTTAGCACAGACTGTAGGGACTACTTTACAGTCTCTTTACATCACCCTGGAAGAGCACAACTAGTAGTTCTTAGGTACTCTTATTCGTGAGCTTTTAAAAAATCCTCGCTGGATTTCTGGCTTTCCAGCACAGCAAAACAGCATCCCCCAGGTGTGGGCTTCGGACGTCCTGGCCTGGTGAGCGGAGTGGAGTGCAGGCCTGTCCAGGAGGCTTTGCACTTGCCCCAGGTTTGCAGGTAGCCTATTGCGTGGCCAGTGGCAACTTGCTGACTCTCTCTGCTCATATCATGACCCCAGTTGGCCCCCTGGGGCACTCATCGCCCTTGCAAGGACCTGGTTCTGAAGCGCCGACTCGGGGTGCAGGCCTGTGCCCCTTTTCGATGTGTCTAGAGGGGTGTTGTGCTTTGGTGGAATCCAGGAACAAATAATGAAAAGTACAGCGAGTACAAGGCCGCGGATAGACCCGGCGCACTCTTATCAGTCATCTGAAATATGCACAGCCTTTCCAAGACAAGTACGGACTCCTGTTTCTAGGAAAACACCAAAAAGCACTTATCAGTTACCCTGTATGTGGTTTGTGGACAAAGACAACATCACTGCCCCGAAAGCCGTAGCAAAGCAGATTCCTTCGGGCAGCCGACAGCTGAGTGGCTGTGGCCTGGGGCCCGTCCACGGAGCCTTTCTTCCTCCTCACGTGGTTCTTGGGCCCGTCACCCTGCCCCCAGGCAGCTGAGCGCATCGCAGAAGAAATCCAGCAGCTGGGCACGTGCTTTTAAATGCCCACAGTCCCTCACCCTTCTCCCCACCCCTGCAAGTCTGGAGGTGCCCGGATCGAAGTCCAGCCGTGATGACCACAGCAAGCACGGCCACCGCTGGTGGACAGCCACGTTCTGTCAGGCACAGGCGTGTCGGGCGTTATTTGATTTGATTTTACAGAGAAAATGAACCGAGGGTTAAAGAAGTTAACCGACTTGTCCATTTTCACGTAGCTAGGAGAAGGCAAAGGCAAGGTTCTAATTCAAAATTGGTGTCTTCAACCCCAATCTCATTGTGCATCACAGCGAATACTGTGGTTTAACTCCAGTCACTAAACGTAGAGTGTGTGTTGTAGTAAGTAGTGGGTTTGTCTTAGATGAAGCTGGGAAATCATTTTAACACCTAACCTCTGCTTTTTGTCCCTTTCCCCATGCAGGACGCAGGCGCAGAGGGTGCGGAAGCCGCGCTGCTGCACGGGGCCCCGCGGGTTGCTCCCCCGCTACTCGGAGAGCCAGGCCGAAGGGCAGGAGCAGCTCTTCAAGCTGACGGACAACATACAGGACGAGTTGTAAGTGGGGGACCGGCCCGTTGGTTGCCGAGTTGTCTCTTCTGTCTCTGCGTCTGAGAAGTTCCCATCTGACCCGAGTATCATCTTAACCTTGGAACTGTTCAGAGATTCCTGGGCCCAAATGTTTCAGAGGTTCAGATAAGCCGCTAGAAAACAGCCTTTTCCTTAAAGCTGTGCTTCTCAAACTGAGTTTCAGAGCGGGGCCTTCATGTTTTATTTCTAGAAAGTGGCAGTTTCTTTCTAGATCAAAGAGAGACGATAATAAAATACTCTCAATTTTACAGGGTTTTTTCCAAAACCCTGTAAAATTGTCTTAAACTTTAGTGTTCTAGTGTTTGCTGCTGAAAGCTAGTGAAACAATGCAGATAAACCAATAATAACTAGTAGCTGAAAATTTGGGGAATGCAATTTTCTTAGGATTGTTTTGTTTCTCTTTGAATGAGGAGCCTTCTATTCCTGGGCTCTTGTAGTATTTTAAACTAGTGAAATTATCCCGAGCTGATAGGATAGGATTCAGTATATCACTATTTTAGGGTATTCTGTGGGGACTTTTCATATAATATGCTCACTAGCCTAAGTAAGTGTTAGAGCCACCAGCCCAGAGAAAGCAGTTAGTTATGCCTGATGAGTAGCAAATGCTAGTTTAATTTCTTTTATTTATTTTTTATTCTTACCCAGGGATATGTTTATTGATTTGAGAGAGAGAGAGAGAGAGAGAGAGAAACATTGGTCAGTAGCCTCATATAGGTGCCCCAATGGGGAATTGAACCCACAACCTAGGTATGTGCCCTGACCGGGAATAGAACCGCAGTCTTTTTGGTGTACGGATGACACTCCAAACAGCTGAGCCCCCGGCCAGCGCTAGTTTAATTTCTCTCAATGGTTATGTATCACTTTAAGATAAAGCAGGCGAGGGAAGTTTCTGAAGGCTGTGGCTGCTTTTGGGTTGGTGGAGAAGTGTCCGAAGTAGAGGGTAACCTTCAGTGTCATTGGTAGAGACAGTGGTGAACTGACTCCCATCTCGTATTTCTGTAGCAGCATTTGAATGGGGGCATCAGCAGTCAGATCCAGAACCCATTTGTTGCCCGCTGGATAGGATAGCGCCTCCCTGGATGTGTTTGGTGTTACCCGCACCCTCTGCAGTGTTCCTGGAAGGGCTCTTGATGGAGGTGCATTACATTGTCTCAGTCAGCTTCAGCTGCTGTAACAAAACGCCATAGACAGAGTGGCTTAAACAACAAAATTTATTTTCTTATAGTTTGGGACATTGGGAAGTCCAAGGTCAAGGTGATGCCCGATTTCGTTACTGGTGAAGGCTCTCTTCTTGGCTTGCAGGTGGCCACCTTCTGGCTGTGTCCTCACATGGCACAGGATAGAGAGTGAGATCTCTGTCTGGTGTCTCTCATAAGAACACTAATCCTGTAGGATCAGGGCCTCGCCCTTAGGACTTCATTTGACCTTAATTACTTTCATACTCCAGTCACATTGGGGTGAGAGCTCCAACATAGGAAATGAAGGGGGACTTAATTCAGTCCATGGCAGGCGTCATTTGTACATTCTCTTCTTTTAGTCCAGCCTCAGCCCTGGCCATCATTCCAGTATCCAGAATCTAATGGGGTCTCACTCCAGGGATGACTGTATATTCCTGCTTCCTTGTGGTGAGGATTTGGTGACGTGACTGCTCTTTATGGTCTGACCAGGAATCAAACCGTGACTTCCTGGGTCATAGGTCAACATGCAACCACTGAGCCACGCTGGCCAGGCTGTGCCACTTTTCTGGTGGGACTTTTGGACTTTGGATAGAAGGCCCAGAAGTCATCCTTCAGGTTCAGCCTGGCAAGGGCAGAGTCTGCTAGAGTGGTGACCCCAGGAGGGCAGGGAGCTGTGTCTGTTCCATTCTCGGAAGAGTCCTCAGCACCTAGAACAGTGCCTGGCACGTCGTGGGCACTCAGGAAATATTTGTGTAGCTGCAGTTTAACATGATATTAATGTTCACTTTTCCTTCTTTGGAGCGGTATCAAAGGTTGAGATTATAAATTACTGTACATTGTGCATTCAATTCCATCTCTAGTCCTTGTGAAATTCATTTTCGGTAGAATGACATGTGCCAGAAGCTCGGGGAGAAAGTGAGCCGCACCCCCTGAGAACAGCCGTGGCAAACTGAGAACGGGAATCCGAGTGGAGTTGGTAAAATAGATTTCCTGAAACTCTTGAAGTTCATGTGAACTGGGAAAAGAGATTGGCATGAGTGAAGTTTGACTAAAGATGAAAACCATGTGTCTCCACGCATGTGGGGTAAACCTCGCCGGTGAGTGTGGAAGGAGGCAGGTGCCCACGGCCTTCCTCCGTGTGCGAGGAGTCGCCAGGGACTCAGCGGTGTTTCTCTGATGGGTCCTCAGCTGCCAGGCAGGGTCCTCCCGGCGACATGAGCATTAGAATCGTCACTTTGCAAGAAAGGGTTTTCAGGAAAAGCACACGAGTGCCAATTATCCCTCTGACTTTTATCCTAGAATTGTAATTAAGAACATGTTTACAGACCTAATTATTTGCATATTTTCCTTCAGAGTTAACCCCTTAAAAGGATCTTTAATACCTTGCTCTACTGTTCTAACTAAATGTTTCCACATTTTTTTCCAGTTAGACTCACTGTTTCACTTCTGGAAAATATTGTGTAATTACTTCCTGATGCAGCGAAAACCCCACAAAGTCCCAGTGCCATGGTTACTTCAACTTTGTGCTCCCAGATCAAGTTTCATCCCATTTTTTTCATTTTATTTAATTAATTAGTATTAAAAAGATAGTTACTGACATGCGACTGAAGGTCTGGCCAGCGGCGGAGGCTTTAGTTTCGAATGAATCGAATATTTCTCTGGTATGTTGCAGAATTACCAGTGCTTCCCATTTTTCTCAATTTGGGTTTTGAAATAGGATCCCTCTGGCTTAAGCTGATGTCAAAGTAAAATTTGTCCTATCTGATTAAATTGATTTTTCTTTATGACTGGTGTCTATCTGTAGCCAGGAACCTCATTTTCTTTTTAAAAAAAAATAATAAGAGTGGTTATTTTATTTCCAATCCTTCATCGCAGACCAAGTTACGTACAGAAAAAATATAAAAAATAAAACAAACATAGCCTGTAGACCCACCAATGAGCTAAGTCCTTTCTCTTTTTGATGAAATAAACTCATGCATGGTTAGCAAGTTCAGAGAGCACAGGAAGAAATAAAACCCAGAGTAAACTTCTCCCCCCATACCCTCTTTGTAAACGTAATGTTTATGGTATTTGTGTCTCGCCTGTCCTCCTTGAGCCGTTGCAGATAGAGAGAGAGAAAGCAGGAAGATTTGTTTGAGCACAGGTCATAGTGTTGATTCTAATAGCATGTAATTATAAATACAAACCTCATAGTCAGAACAAGGCAGGTCCTTGTGAGGAAGGGATAGAGTTCAGTGGCTTCCTTTTCTAAACCAGGAAATAATCTATCATAAGCATTGACACCTCGGGAACTGACATGCTTTCATATGCCACCGAATTACAACTTTCACGTGGCGGGTTTTCTAGCTGTCCTGACCGAGGGTAAGGACTTGCTAAATCTTTAATCCGTAAACGCAGGAGATCTGAGGGGATGTTTCACCTTTACTAGAGGGTAGACTGCAGCCAGCATGCGAAGTGGCACGTTGACCTTACGATGTCATTTCATTGTCATTTTCTGAGACTACCAAGCATGTGCATTTATTGAATCCTACTGTGCAAGGACGAGTAAGGAATTTGCTGTTCCCTCGACATGTTTACAGTCTAGCAGGGGTAACAGACAATATCACCAACTGTCTGTAACACAGGATTGCTTTTAAAATAGAAGTGTGAGCCATGTGTTATGGGCCACCGGGAAGTGATCAATGCAGCCTGGAAAGCTGGGGAGGCTGTGGGCCGTTCTGGTCCCGCAGGCGGAGAGATGTGCTGCAGAGAGAAGGGAGAAGGTCCCGTTGTGCTGCAGAGAGAAGGGAGAAGGTCCCGTTGCCCGTGTGGCCTGGAGGAGGCGTTCCATGCCACCGAGTGCGAGCCCGGACTGGTGTTGGTGATGCCACCGGTGCTGCTGAGAAAGCCCCCGAGGTGGTCGTGGTCTGGGGTGTTGTCCGGGTGCCCGAGCTCCCAGGGTGGTGTGCGCCGTGCGCTCAGCCTTCCTTTCTCTCTGAGAAACTTTGACACTATCCCAAGTCAGCGTTCCTCTTTCTCTTCGTAAAGGAGAGTTAAAGTAAACCTTTTAACCCAAGTCTAAAAACCCTGCTTTGTGTAGGATTAGTAGCACCTACAGCAACCTGAGACAGGCTCCAGAACCCGGTGGCCTCCTCGTGCTCATGTCGGGGGGTGTCCTGGTCCCGAGCTCTGTCTCTACCATGTGCTTTTATTCCCCATCCATCGGAGTCCCCAGCAGGTCAGAGACTAGCGGGATGCACTCAGGGCCACCTGAGACCCGGGGGCTGTCTTTCTCTGTGTCAGCCTTGAGGTGTCCCAGCGCCACGCCTTCGTGGGCCAGAGCAGCCCTGCGTGAAGAAGTGCGGTTACATGGGGGACAGAGCAGGAAGCCAGTGTCGGACTCAACAGGCACACAGCGGTAGCCACGGCTGCTCCGTTGGCGAGCCCTGAGCCCGTCAAGTGAAGCCTGGGGAGGCAGGCCTCCGCGGGGGGATGGCCAGGAAGGGAGGGTGCTGGCAGCGGAGCCTGCCCAGAGCACTGCTGGGTCCTGCTTCTCTTACACCCCAACTTTCGGCTCCTTTCTGGCAGTGATGAGTTTGGGGGTCGGTCTCCATTACAAGAGAGAACCCCTCATCTTGAGCTCAGTTTCATTTATTCTTCAATGTGGTTTCCAGATTTTATAATTTTAAAAAAAGTGTGTGTGCATGTATGTGTGTGTGCATTGTGTGCATGCGCACACACACGTGTCTATGTGTGCATGTGCCTGCACATGTGTACTAGTATGTGCGCATGCACGTGTGTGTGAGAGGGGGCGCTGCCAAGGAAGTAGCAGGAGGAAAATGGAGATTGGTTTGCCAGATACATCTCTGGGTTCCTGTGCTAACTGGGGAGGGGATCCTGTGCCGACCAGGGTGGGGATCCTGTGCCGTCCGGGGTGGGGATCCTGTGCTCCAGCTGCCTGCTGTGGCTCACTGTCTCCCTTCCTGTGTGCCGTGCCAGCACCGCCAAGGGTACAGTGAGCCTGAGGAGGGGCGGTGAAGGATGAAAGAAAAGATGGACAAAGAGAATATAGCTGGGGCTCAGTGGATCTCCTGTGCCTGGATGAGGCCACAGAGAAGGATCCAGCCAGCAAGCTGAGGCTTTATTTTATAGTCAGAGAAAAACAAGGTACTGGTCAACATAGTTACAATGTTCTTGTGAGTTTCACTTGTTTGGGCAGCACTTGCTGCACCTCCCACAGTCCATTAGCCACCAAGGAAGGAACTAGGGAGGGTATAAGGTTAAGCTTAATTAAGCTAAGAGGGCTCTGCCCTCTAAGCTGGGACTTCTTTGTGGCTCTGCCATAGGTCATTCCGAGGCTTAACTCTGACTGCGTTCCTGGGAATGGGCCCCAGGACTCCCAGAGTCGAGATCTGTACCCTTTACTGCTCCCGTCCCTCCCTGATCTGTATGGCCTTGAATTCTTTTGACTTCACTAAGTTTGTGCCCGAAGCTGACAGGTAGTATCATCTCTGTCTGATGAAGAAACTGGGTCGCAGAGAAGGCAGCTGGCCTGGCGGATCCACAGCCCACAGGGTTTCCCTCCACTGCTGTGAGTGCGCACCATGGGAGGTGCCGCCCTGCCTCCCAGGGTTCTGGCCTGACCCAGGACTTGCGCCATCTGTGGCATCTTGAAAAGGAGTCTATTTTAAAGCCTATAAAAGTTCCAGTGGAAAGTGCACTAATAATGCCAGCCACTGGGCGGGCGTGGAAGGGAGGCCGGCCCTTTCCAGGGCTGTGCATGTCAGCCGCAGGGGCTGCCAGCCGGGGTGAGCGTGGGGGCGGGGGTGGAGGGCAGAGGGGCCCAGAACAGAAATCATCTCAGTTGGATTTTTAGTGCACATTCCTGCCCTCACCCAACTGCACAGGCCAGCTTTGGGGGTCTCCTTCGAGAGCCAGTCCAGCCTCCACAGCCACCTGCCCCTCACCGGCACCGGCAGCCATGGCCGTGCTCCACCTGCACCTGATTCCCCAGCAGGGCCTGGCTGGCCCTGTGGTGCTTCCTCTTAGTCGGGTAGCAGTGTTTACCGCTCTCTGTCTGTCTGCCTCTCTGTCCCTTTCCTTCCCCCTGGACCAGCGATGTAGATCCCATGTAGTTCCAACAAGTGGTCAAGCTCTGTCCTAGGGCTGGCAGGCCCAGGAGGTGAGGATTGTGTGCTGAGCGGCCTGGACCCCAAAGCTGCTGGGTAGTTTTCATTTGAGCATCGAGACGCCACAAGTCTGCATTCTTGGCATTGCCCACCAGTTGGAATAGAACGATAAACTCCAGTTTGGCCATGTGAGGCCGTGATTAAATGGCGACTGGAAGCAGGCGATCCTTGCCAAACAAGTGCTCGGTGGTGGGGACGGAGAGGGGATGTGGACCCACTGCTCCATCAGCATAGTCAGCGCTGAGTCCTGTCCAGGAACCAGAGACAGCACACGTGAGTGTCTGACGGTGCTTTTGAAGGTGAGCAGTTAGGTGTTCAAAAGTGGGGTGGGGTTGGAGTGCCTCATGGGGAAACTCCGAGAGGTTGGGACTTGGGAGACCTCAGGATGGAGGATGGAGGTAGCTGAGGGGAGGATGGAGGTGGCTGAGGACCGTGTGTCCTGAATGCAAGGTGGTAAGTGCCTGGCACGTGCTGGGACTGAGAGGAAAGCCGCCTGTCACCAGCAGGCAGGCCTCCATCCCTGACGTCGAGAACAAAGCCGTCCTGGGACCTGGTCCTCCAGCAGCTCCGAGGGCAGCCTGGGCTCTGAGCAACAGTTTGCAAATTCCTCTCAGGACATCAAGGCCCAGGGGGCCGCAGCCTGACAGCCAGCCTGCGGTCAGCTCTCAGTGTTCCTGCCGCCGCCGCTCTCCATCGCTGGCCGCCCATTGTGGAGGCTGTCACAGATGCGGGAGGCAGCCAGGCCGGAGCTGCCACAGCCCCCGGGGTCACTGTGCTGCATTCGGGGGCTGAGCGAGGCTTACCCTGCAGACCTTCCCCTCATCTGGGTGCTCCGGGGAGGGGAGGGAGGTCTTTTCTGAGCTGCCCTAAAGCCCTGAGAAGCAATGGCTGAAAGTTAGGAAAGTCAGGATTGCAACTGGACTAGCAAAAGCACCTGCTTGTGGCGTTTCTGCAAATGGAGTGGGTCCCACCAGGCCCTGTCCCTGGAGCTGCTGAGCAGAGGCCGCGCGGCCTCCTCTTAGGACCGAGGCAGGAAGGACGTAGATGTCAGAGTGCAAACGCAGGGCCTCGGGCCCCTTGGGCGACCTGTTTGGTTCCACTGCCTCCGTCCATCTCCGTCCCCGGCCTGCCTGCCGGCGTGGCTCCCTGCGCCCTGAGAGCTTCCTCAGCTGCTCCGTCCACACTTCAGCACATTCTCTTTTCTTCCCCTGATTCGTCCAGCAGAGCATTGTTACAGTTTTCTCCAAGCCGTATGCTACCTGACAGGTCTCCCTGGAGACACCCCACACAGCACCCTTTCAGGGTGAAGTGGCTTCTCTTGTTGGCCGTCATCATGCACTAACGTTGGTCGAGCCGCCTGTGGAAGGGGCCGCGATGCCAGCCTTGCTTTTGCTCCTAATTCATAAACGAGGAAATGGGGGGAGGGGGGCAGGGAGGGAGGGAGGGAGCCTGAACTGGGGACAGGCCTTTGGACACCAGGGCGCACCCACACACACACCCCCACTGGCTCAGCGACAGGGAGAGAGCTCCGGGCGCCTTGCTCACGTCCCCTCTGCTTGGCAGCTTCATCGCCGTGGAGAACATCGACAGCTACTGCGTGCTCATCTCCTCCAAGGCGGTCTACTTCCTGAAAAGCGGGGACTACGTAGACCGGGAAGCCATTTTCCTGGAAGTCAAGTACGACGATCTCTACCACTGCCTCGTCTCCAAAGACCACGGGAAGGTGTACGTGCAGGTGACCAAGAAGGCGGTGAACACGAGCAGCGGAGTGTCCATCCCCGGCCCGTCCCAGCAGAAGCCCATGGTGAGTGCACACGGCCACCCCTCCGCCCTCCTGAGCTGCATGGTCAGAGTGTGAGAGACAGCGAGGCCCACGGGCACCTCTGCCTGCTCACTCTCCTCCCGGGAGCTCTCTGCGGGGTCAGGCTGGGCTGTTACCCCAGGGGTGCTGCTTCCCCTTCCCGCCCCGGAGGAGCTGGCTGCGTGCTCACGAGGGGGTGCTGCCTCCCAGCTCTGCTTCCGGGGCCCTGCACGTGCCAGCACCTGTGCCGCAGGGCCCGTGGATGTTAGCAGTGGGGACCCACTGACATGATGCGGGGCTTTTCCCAGCTGTGACTCTGGGTGCACTGGGTCCAGGACGGTGTCAGCACACCGGCTGCTCTCGTTTCTCTTGTGTAACAATCGGAAACTTTTTCTGTGCAAAGATGCACTATCTAGCAGAGGCCTCTACCCAGGGTAAGTGCTCCATAAAGAACATTTACATTTTTAAGTGTAAAAGGCTAGAAGATGTTGCTATGGCAGGACTTTTTAAAAAGGATGTTGCTATTAATAACCAGCCATCGCCGTAAGGAGCTGGGGTTCAAACCCAGGTGCCGTGTGACCCCAGACCACGTGGCCATCTCCTGGGAGGGACCGCTGGCTCCGGGAGCACGTGGGAGGCAGCCCGTCCTGGCCCTCTTCCGACTCGGTCTCCATGAAGCCCAGGGCTAGTCCTGCTCCTTCCTCCCGAATGCCGGCATTCGCAGGCCCGCATGAGGGAAGGGTGCGTCATTAAATGCCCCTGCTTATCTCTCCAAGATGGGGAGCCTGGCCGGCTGCATGGCTGCCCCTTTCAAGGCAAGCGAGCCGCTCCGCGTTCTGGATGAGGAAGGCCGGAGGCCTTTGTGGGCCGGGTGTGGGTTTGAATCCCAAGGTGCAGTCCCTTATTCGTGCTCTTAGCCTGCGGGAGCCGATGGTCCCCAGGTACAGGGTTGGCTGCACAGTCACCCGGGGAACTTGTTAAAAGACACAGATTCCATGCCCCCCCCCACCCCCCACCCCCGAAATCAATATTAACTGGGAGTAGGGCCCCGGAGGCCGTCTCTTAAAAAATGCACATCCTGGTGTCTACAGCTGGGCCCTGTGGCTGTCCACCCCCCCCCCCCCCCCCCCCCCCCCCCGCGCCGGGG